GCCGCCTCCCGCCGCGCGGCCCCGCCGAGCCTCTGCCCCGGGGACCATGTTCCGCGCTTTCCCCGTCTGAGCGCTCAGGCCTCACGACCACGCGCTTCGTTGTGGGCCGAACTGAGTCCCCCAACCCCCGATGTGACTACTGGGAGATGGGGTCTTTAAGGAGGTCATTAGGGTTCATTGAGATCATTAGGGTGGGGCCTCGCCTGCTGGGACTGGAGTCCGTACCGGTGGAAGCGACACTAAGAGGACACCTGCACGGAGAAAGGCCCCATGGGGCGGGGGGGGACGCTGGCCCTCTGCGCCTGGGGAGAGAGGCCTCAACAGAAAGCCACCCAGCGGGCACCCCGATCTTGGACTTCCAGCATCCAGAGTGTGAGGAAATAAATTGTCGCCCATGCGTGGTACTTTATGATGGCGGCCCCGGCTAATACACATTTCTGTAAAAGGTTGCGGTAAATGTGCAAATACTCAAAGGCACGGATCTTGTTTGATGAGTATTGACCATTAATGCAACCATGTCACCCCAGAAAGTTCACTCGTTGCCAATCAAGTCCACCCCCAGACATCTCCCTAACGAGGCAACCGCTGTGCTGTGTACCCCCAGGTTAGTGCTGTCTGCACCCGGACTCTCCACGGATGGAACTGTAAGTGGACTCTGGCTGTTTGCACTCAGCACCACGTGTGCACGGTGCACCCACACCTTGTGAATCTGCAGCCTTGCTTGCCGAGCACCCCTCCCCGCGTGCCCCTTCTCCCACTGCAGACACTTGGGTGAGGGCCCAGTGTGGGGCCATCATGAATAAGGCTGCTGACTTCCAGACAATTCTGTGTGCACGTGCACGTGCACTCATGGCTCTTGGGGACGGGCTACCGGAGAGGGGCCTTAACTTCAGGGCACCGCCAAACGGTTCCCACGGTGGCCAGATCTTTTGCGCTCCCACCAGCAAGGCAAGGTCCACAGAGGCTCCCGGCCCTGACGATATTCAACATCCGTAATTTTTACTTCAGACTTGGGCTAAATAAGTATAAAACGACGTCTCATGGTCACTTCCCTGATGGATGACGTTGAGCATCTTTTCAGGTCCTCACTGGCATATCTCCATTTATCGACTTGCCTGTCTTTTGTCCCAGTTTTTCACTGGGCTGTGCTTATTGCTGCTTTGTAGGCGTTCCTTTTACATTTTGTGCAAATCGTTTGCCAGCGCCACGCACTGCATTCCTCTGCAGTCCGTAGCTTGACTGGTTCTCAATGGCACCTTTTGCTAAGCAGAAATTCCTCATTTTTCCTTGAGCTAGGTTTCTGCAGCCTTCACCATGTAGCCAGGGACAGGCAGGAAGGCCAACGAACTTCCTCCAGGTCACATGTTTTAGACGGCAGAACCATGGCCTGGGCCTGAGTGTCCAAAGCAGGGGCACTCCATGGCACTGCTCCAGGGCAAAGCCATGCTGCCTGTCCTCAGAGGGCCAAGCGAGGGCAAGTCATGTCCCCTCAGATTCTGTTTGTTCATCTGCAAACTGAGGTGTTCTGAGGACTTCGTGCTGGCCTCGAAACTGCCTTTCAATGACTGGCATATTTTTTGGATTGTTATGATCATCTGCAAGATGCTAAGTAAAGGAAAACTCAGCTAACTGTTCCAAATGTTTCCATGGCAGGTTTAGTGGTTTTCCTGTCTCAGCGAAATTCCAGCAGGTTATTTCAACATTTACTTAACTGTGCTGGGCACAGCTGGGGACAGTGAGAGCCTTCCAAGTAACAGGATAAATCAGGTCTCAGCAAAATAAAATTTAAAGTTGAGTCAAAAGGGAAAAAAAAGAAACAAACAGAAGCCAACCGCCAGCACCACGCGAGGACGGCGGCTGGGACAAATCGCCCCAGCCCCCTCCTGGGTCCCTTCCCACAGCAAGCTTCCATCTGCCGACCCGCAATCGACTCTCAAATTGTGCAAACTCGCCCCTGCATCACCATGACCAGCCGACTTCTAGCTGAGCAGAAAACACTGCACAGCGGGGCAGAGAGAGGCACTGTCTTCGGAGCCCACCGTCTCGGACCCCACCTTCCTCCTCAGGCAAAGCCCCTCCCCGGCTGCAGGTCTCGGCTGTGCCAGGGCTGACAGTGTCCCCAAGTTCAGGAGCCCGGCCGTGAAATCAGTCCTGCCCTCAGAGCTCCTGCCCGTTAGTGGTCCTTGACCTTAAAAGCGAGGCTTTCCTGCTCGGCTTCATCTGCAAACCGGGAACCACAGAAAATGGAGTGGGACCCCAGCTCGGAGCTCCCAGAAGACAAGAAGAAAAGCAGTCCCGCCCCCCCAGCCCCCTCACCCAGCCCCACGGCCACCCCACTGGCCGCCTGCCCTCCTGCCTCCGGGCCCTGCACACACCTGGGCCACTCTCCTCTCCCCATCTTGTTCACCCTCTGGGGCTCCCCTCCAAGGGCGTCCACCCGAGTGGGCCCCGCCCCCACAGTCACACTGCGTTTTCACAGGCTCTTCAATCAATGTCCTGCCACACAGGACTATGAGCTGGAGCTTGTGTGAAACATTCACTCACACACATGCACACACACATGCACACACACACACACACACACACACACACACACACACAGACACGTGTCATCACAGCCTATGGGCCAAGATGGGTGCGTAGGAGGAGGTGTGTGAAACTATGTACAGGCACACGCATATACACTCGCTGAAAAAACATGCACCCCACACCGCACACGAGGTAAAGTCTACACCAGCTGAATAGGTACAAAGGTGTCAGATGACAGCACCTCCCTCTCCGCAGCTCCCCTTTACCATCTGGAGCCTCCTGGGACCCCCTCCAGGTTAGCAGCCAGAGCTGCAGTTTGCTCTCTCCAGGGGGTGCAGCCCACCCATGGCGGGTGCACACCCCCACTTCAACTAACGACATTCGTTTTGTTCCGTGGTTTTTTCCACGAGGAAAGAAATGCAAATCCGGTTTGGTGATGCCAGGTCGAAGGGCCCAGGCACCTTCCGTCCTCACCAGCTTCCATCCTGCTTCCCAAGGCTGAGGCTCACGCTTCCCCGAGTGTGGGAGACCGCCCCCCAGCGACAGGCGGTGTCCCAGCACTTTAAGGTGTTCGCCCCTCTGGGGAGCAAAGCGACTGGCACATTTTTGCTTTACTGACATTTTATCGACGTCTCACGGTTTTGAGAACCTTTAAATATTTACTGGCCACGTGGGGTGGATGCTTCAGCGAGCTGTCTTTTCAGTATCCTGTGCCCAGTTTTCCACGTTGCAATGTCCGTCCGTGCTTCACTCAGCATGAACGCTGCGGCCCCTGCTCTGTGATCTCCGAGTCCCGTGTTCCTTCCGAACCTGCCGCGGTCGGTCTCCTGGCTCTGGTCTCGGGAGAGGGGAAATGCAGCCTGACCCAGGACCGGTTTGGCACCTCCCTCCCCCGAACGGGCAGCAGCACAAGGATGGTCAGGCTCCCTGCGCCCCAGTGGTGTGGCGGGCAGCCCCGGCATTGGGCGTGCTTGCACGACACTGACCCCAAGGCTGACTCCAGCAGGTCAGCTGACATGTGAACCCCGATCTCCTGGTCCCGGGACAGGAAATGAAGGGCCTGGCTGTCCTCGGGCATGGAAGACCCATCGCTGCCTGTCTGCACAGCTGCCGTGACCCGTCTCTCTCGTGCAAGGCCTGGTTGTCTGTCACTCATCTTCTGCTTGGCCAAAGTGACCCCACAATGCCTGAGTCCACAGGACCTTCCAGCTCAGCTCTGGGGCCTGGCTAAGCACAGGGTCTCTCCCCTCAGTGCAGGCTCTGGGCTAAGATCCCCCACAATCTAATGAACTGTACGGGGGGTACTGGGGGAGGGAACTGGGGCGCATTCCCACACTGCCTGTTCCAGGCCCCTCGCTGCCTGAACCCGTCCCCAGGCAGGATCGGTGTGACTAGGACATTCTGGGGAGGGGGCAGGGGAGCGGTCTTGTGTGGCCAGGCTTCCTCGGCCCAGGGGAGGTCTGGCCTGTCCCCTCGTGTCTCTGCATCGGGTGTCTCCAGGCAGCATCCCTGTAGCCGGTGTGACTTGTGGAAAACAAACGGAAGCCCGGGCGGTCCCCGAGGTCCTGGCCTCCCGGTGCGTGCTGCTGGGGCCCCTGCTCCACCTGGGCGGGAGCGCAGCACCCCTCGGCTGGAGTGTCCCCTCTCCGGCAGGCACAGCATGTTGTTTTCAAAGCTCCCCGTACACTGGCTAGATTGTTTATTTACATTAATGGACACTTACTAAGCACCTACTGCGCATCCTCCGCTTGATTACCGGAACAGAGGGACCAGCCGTCCCTCTGGCAAGTCACCCTGCAAGTCAGGTGATTGTCCTGGATGTCACTGCCACTGCCTGTCCAACCACCTCTAACTGCAGAGCAGTCGCTACTTCCACTGACTCACACTCCCTGACACTACACAGTAGTGGTGAAGGCCATCAAAGCCGTACTTGTGTTTACTGTGTGACTCATGGGGTGACAATTACTCAAACACAGGCACCTAAGAAATCTCGGGGCTGTGACTGTTCAGTGCTGACCCAGGCAAGGTGCCAGGCTAGATGGATGCAGGAAGATAAGGCCTCAAACGTTCACAGTGACACAAGCCACTCCTGTGAGCCTGTCCGGGGAACCCTGTCGCTCTGGCTGCGGAGTCCCTGACACGCAGAAGCACCCTCCACCGCCACGCCAGGGCTTCGGACGCATGGTGCTCAGACTCAGCGTCCACAATCGCCCCGACGTCGTTCACCCACGGACGCTGGGCTCTGACGGTGCCCGGCTCCACACGAACTATGCTGGATGACTGTCCTCCCAGGGCCTCGAGCTGCTGAGCCTCATCAGGACAGGGGCACCACCAAGGTGACAGACCCAACGTCCACTCAGCACTCAGAACATGAGGCACAGGTAACGTTTCCTTCTGTTTAAAACCTACCGAGTCCTCAGTGAAAAGGCCTCTTTCGCCGACGGGCACAGAGGCGATGCCATCGGCGAGCTCTCACGGTCCAGGCTGGTGTTCCCCGACTCACCTGTAAGGGGCCCCGCCTGCCTGCGACGTGGGGACCGCTGAAGCCCTGCGGCAGGGGCATTTCCTGGTGAGGAAACATCCTTCACCTCGTGGCTGACTTGAAATAGCAATGTAAATCTTTACAGCCATTGTCAACCACTGGGCTGGACCAATATGCAACTTAACGACTGAATCCCCTCAGGTGTCATCACCTGTGAGATGGACCAGTGCACGCACGCCCCACACAGAAGGCATCCCTTTCACAGTCGCTATCCTGGTTGTCCTGATGCTTCAGGCCTCAGGCTTGGGGACAGCAGCTGCCCTGATGTTACGGCCGGAGAACACGAGGGCTACCATGGCAGGGGCGTGCAGGATGGGGCCCAGGGGAGGTCTGGACACAGTGTGACCAGGCACCCGCCCGCAGGCCTGCCCGCTCACCGGTCCAGCATGGATGCGCTGACCGCGGAATGCACGCCGCGTACCTGTGCGCGGGCCAACGTGTCTCTTGACACGCCAACACACACGTGCACACACGTGTCACAAGGGGACTCTGGGGATTGTAACGTTCGCTCAAAAACGCAAGAATTAAAATGATCCTGCGAGTGATGACGTGGTTCTTTAATTGAAGGAAGGACCAAGACTGTCACGTCCCGAGACGCACAGGCCTCACCCAGGTAGTTATCGCCAGCCTTGGCCTCCTCGGCTGCCCGTCCGCTAACCTCAGTGATCTCCGCCAGTTCTTCAGAACCATGCGTGACTGTCCCCCGAGGAGACCCGCCACAGCAGAGTCAGAGGCTGGCCCCGGGCACGGCCGACCGGGCTCACTGGACGTCATCGTCATCAAAGAGGTCTTCGAAATCTGCGCCAACAAACGGAACACGGGTGACTGGGGACGTGAGGGGAAGAGCCGAGAAAATACCTGCAGAATGAATTGTATGGTCGTTCGAACTGGAGAAAACGCTACACGATCTAAAGGGCTCTGCCCGGGACAGAGTCTCGATGTCGTGCAGCCCGGGGCTCGGATACCGTCCAAGGGGACAAGGTTGTCGGAACGCACTTTACGCTCGTTTCTCCTTAGGCGACGATGTTAAAAAAACGCAGGCAGGGCGTGCTCTGGCCCACGTGGGCCACCACCTGGCAGCCGCGACCGAGCACCGTGACACGTCAGTGCCCACGCCGAGGCCGAGGCCTGGCCCCGGTGACGCGGAGGGGAGGCCACGCGGCTGGGAGGCCCGTGCTGTCAGGCACAAGCCCCGGCCACTGCAGCGGGGAGTCGTGGGGGCGGGAGGGAGGCAGCGGGCGGCCTGTGCGGCCGGCCAGCAAGCCGGAGCGCCAGTCTAAGCCCGTGACGACGGGAAGAAACATCGCAAACGCACAGCGCGCCACCTACGGGGCTCAGCGGGCACCGCCACGGCCACGCTGCCTCTCCCTCCACTTTCTCGTTTTCTAACTTCCCTACTACCAAGGACGGGCACCAACGGGAAAGAACCGACACCTCCCTCGTGTGGCCTGCGCGGCACAAGAACGGACCAGAAGGAGGGCGGGCGGGATCGTGTCCGAGGGGAGGCGGTGTCCCAGGGCCCCCGCCACACTGACGCGGTTGTTCCCAGCAGAGCCCCGTCTCTCGCCGCCTGGCCTGGCCGGAGGTCCTGCAGCTCTGAGCACTCGCTTCCCCGGCCCCAACCCCAGCTGACCCCTCGCCCTTCACCCCTCTGCTCAGGTGTCAGCTCTTAGAAATAACACCGCTCACCTCTGTCAGGGCCGTTGTCACAGAACTGTCCCTGCCTGTACCCCGCCGACCGCTCCATGACTTTGCACAGGGGGCGAGCCTCGGGCACAATCAGGGCCCCCCTGCCTGGGGGTCACAGGCCATCGGCACCTGTGTGTGGTGAGGAGGAGGAACTCAAAAGCCCACCTGAAGTCCCCGCGGCCCTCCCACAGGAAATGGCTTCCTGAGCACGGATGGTCACAGCCCGGCAGGCAGGATGAGCTTCGCGAGCCGTGGGTGGGCGGTGTGACGCGGGCACAAGGCCCTTCCGTGCTCCCTTTCCAGCCTGACTCGGGGAGTCTGACACCACCGCTGCTGACTGCGACCTGGCAGGGCAGCGGGCCCTCCCACAGACGCGCCCCGCATCAGGACCGCAGGGCAGGTGGGGGCAACCGCATGCACTTGACACTGGGACATGGTGCTGCCTCTGTACCCATGGCCAGCAGAGGATCATCAGGTGTGAGCGGTGGGCCGGTGCCGGGCCACACGGTCCTGCCGGGCTGGGAGCTGGCATTTGCACGTGGACGGCCCTGCGCAGGATGCAAACCTTGGCACGATTTGCTCCCCACCCCCTCATGCTCAGAGAATTCAGAGGAATGCTACTCAGTCCCCAAGGCTCAAATTTTACTTCCTGGTTCTGACAGGAGTTGGTGGCAGCCAGAAGTTGCCCCTGGGGAACAGCCGGACTCCCTGGAAATACGGAGCCTAACTAGGCGGTCTGCTTCTCCTGTCAGGTAACAACTACCTGACAAAAAGCCAGACAAAATGACCTGAACTCTGGCTTCAGAGGGTCTTTGCTTGGCTGCAACGTCTCAGCAGCCACTTACTAGGGACGAGAGCTCTGTGTGGCGGACACCTCAGGTCAAAGGTCGACAGAGAGCAGTCGTCAACCCCCCAGAAGACCACCGTGTGCTCCTGCTGACTACCCGAGGCCCCGTAAGGCCTGACACGACTATAGGAGCAACGCCTCCAGAGTCTGGAGGGGACCGAGACAACCACGCCCTCTAACGTGCGTGACGGCTTCGGTTACCACTGTGAACCTGGCAGAACTGCACACAGTTCTCGGTAACCAGCACTGAAGTCTGAAACATGAATGCGTCCTGGGTTCAGAGGGGTGAAGCGGGGGTACGGCTGTCCCTCTGCAAAGGCAGTATGGGGACAGAAACCTAGTGAGCCGCTGGGAAGGAAAACCAGCCATCAGGAGAGTGGGGACGAGAGCGCCAGACAGGGTCCCCAGGCCGTGCCTCCCGTCACAGAGACCTGGCCGTGGTTTCAGGTGTCCAAAAACATGTCTACAGCTCAAACTCAACGCCTGGAATGTAAGACTGGAAGCAATTTTATGCTATTTTTTCCTCCTGAAAAACAGGGCTGACTGCCAGCGCCAGCAGCCCAGATCATCATTCTACAGAAGCTGCACTGTGCTCCGAGAACAGCACGGAATCTGGCTTTGCTGTTCTCTGACCCAAATCATCCGTGTCACGGAGTCGCTCCACAGCGTCGTCTGCAGAAGAAACATTCAGATTAAAACTGGCACCCCCAGCCCCAGCATCCTTACCATTAAAAAAGTCTGCATGAACGGCCTTTTCATTGGCTGCCAAGTCCATCAGGAGCCCGGTGCTGCCTCCCGCCTGCGGAAGGGAAGGGAAGGCAAAGCGGGGTCAGCGGCATCTTCCGAGAGAGCCGGGGGTAAGTGCCCCCCACCACGCACTCCACGCACATGGACAGGAAGGACCCCAGAAGGAAGTGGATGGGGGTGTGGTGGACAAGGCAGCAGTCCAAGGAATTACTCCGCCAGCACCCTCAGTCCTACATCCCAGACCCCTCCCTGCCTGTTAAAGAGTCCAGCCATCGCCCCAAACACCACTGTCGTGCACCCCCAGAAGAGGTCTAGGGGCCCTGCTGGACACTGCCACAGAAGCTGTGAACACGTGCGACACTGAGCCTGACGGCATCTCTGCCCCGGGGCTGCTCCCTGCTCCCCCGAAACCTAAACACGAACCGTCTCCCTCTGGAGCTGGGCCTTCTTGCCCCTCCGCCTGCGGCACTCGGCTGCCCTGCTAAGCCTTTGTTGGGCCACCCCCAAGGCCCAAGGGCGCTTCTGTCACAGTGTCTGCAGTCAGCCTGTCACAGGCGACCCGCAGGGGCTCTGGGGCTGGGTCTGCCCCCTTAGCTTTGAGAGACAGGGGGTGAGGCTGACCTCGGGGAGCAGGCCTGACACTGGGAGCTGAGCCAGGCAGCGGTGACCAGCGCACGGAACAAACAGCAGACAAAACCTCCCTGTCACCACGATGGAGTGAGACAAAAGCGCAAGACCAGTGTCACTGTGCAAAACGCCACGCAGACGTGCCAGGTCACGTAAACGCCAGCCGCCCCCTCCGCCAGGCCCAGGGCACAGCCCCCTGCGCCTCGCGCCCCCGGGGTGCGCCCGTCTGACTGCAGGCGCCCCCGACTCCCTGCGACGCCGGCCCCACGGTCGTCACCGTCGCTGGGTCCTCGGGGTCCGACCTCGGGTTCGGGT